CGGACAATCTCTTTGTATTGGTCGAAAAGATCCGCAATCTGAATAAGCCCAAATTGAAGGCGATATCTGGAATCATTGCTAGGAAATCGAAAATGACTCTAGTTAAAAGGTGGGTTCGTGGCGTACAGACGCTCCCCAATATAACTATTGTAGCCGAAACATCTAGCTTTCGATGATCGATGTTCAAAGATACCTGCTTAACTTCATCAAAAGAAAATCCGAGTTGCATGAGATCTAGAGATCGTTCTGCTGGAAGTTTCATCTCTTCCTCGGACACACTGCCTGGGCGGAGTAGCGTCATTTCGGCCGTCGACGATGACGGCGTTCGCGGAGTCTGGAAACATGCTTACAGAAAGTTTCCAGAAAAATTTGCCAACTTCGTCATCATCCATCTTATTACAACCTCGAAACAAGAAGTATTTTCTTCCAATTTATTCCTTTCCTGCATGTTTTCAATAACGTAGACATGGATGAACTCTTTACAATCCATACGTAGGGTAGAGAAAAATATTACTATAGGTTGCTCATAATCGTAAGTTGTTTTTAAATAAGATGGTGCAGGATACTAACTATAAATTTCATTTTTTATTTATTGTAATTCATATAAATGAGGCTTCACTTACTTCGGCTATGGAGACTTGTACAAGGCTATGCAATGTCGGAGGCGATAGATAATTCTGAAATGCTGGCAAAGTGTGGAAATCAATGCATTATAGATATGTGCTCTAATTTCGCATCTGATTTTAAAGGATGGTCGTGCTTTCAGTGCCACCTTCCCTTAAAAAGATGGAAAAACGACAAAATTGAAAATTCATTTGTTCCTTCGCAGATCACTACTTAAGCGTTGATTGAGCTCACGGTTACTGTCGAAGGCTACTGAGCTTGTAAGGCCAAAGAAGTGAATTGTAAGAGCGTTGAAATGATAGTCGAACGATAGTCGTTCCGCGCGACTACCGTATCCGACTACTCTGGGATTTGTACTTTCCCCTGACAGGGCCCGACTAGGTGCGGCGGGCGCGACGCGGTTTTCGGGTAGAAGATACCGCACCCCATTAGCGATAAGTGTCTATCATTCAGCGTTGTTGTCAGCAACGTGGTACCCAAAATAATGATCAAAGCACCATTTTCAATTACGACCATGGCCTTATATGATTTCGCCAGTCTACCTAACTGCTACGCTATGTCATAGGCTCGAGGGATTACAGTTCAATAACATTGCATAACACCTTTTTCCCTTGAAGACGACACACCCCCTGTTTGGTTTTGAGCTTTAATTTTTGACCAAACCCACTTCATTAGCACTGAGTTGTCCTAGTTGTTGCCAATGAGCCGTTAACAGAGGTGTCCCATCATTCGGAACTGGAGCATCTTGGTACCCTTGCCGATAAGAGCCCAGCATACTTGGCGGCTCAAATTTCTGAAGGGCATCCGTTGCAGTAAACTTCGAATAAGGATGTATCAGGACATTACCTCTTTATTTTGTTTGAGACGATTTTTCAAAGAAGCTCGTTGAATATCTGCAGCTCTGCAAATCCTGTCGAAGAACATCTCCTTTTGGGGTCCGAGGAATTTACCCAAACTGATACAGTAAATAAACACCAATATAAAATAAAAACCACTTGTCGCTGCGCGATGGTGCTAACGTTTCAGAACTAATGGAAACTGGAAATATCGTACTTGTGAATTTTCCTCAGTTGCTCGAAGGTGATTGCAGTCTTGGCATTTACGCTCGACTCTTTTTGCTGTCGTATGTCGCGCTCAAGGATTTGAATCTCTCGCTCACAGTCAAAACTCTGAAATCCTCAAATTGATTATTGATATGGCCTAATCGATGACTGGAAGATGCTGATATGTTCAACTACTGTTGGACCTGATATGCGGACCTCTTCCTGGCTTTCTAAGAAACTGGACGAACTCCATTTTTTTAAGACATGGATCAGTCAGTGTTTTCTATATGTGGTACTCCAAACTGTCTTGATTCAGGTCCAGAGATCTGGTTAAGGCTTATCCGATCTCTTCAGATCAAAGTCCCAACACAGTGCGAAGGTAGTGCAGTGGCAAGTGGCATACCATTACAAGTGCGTGGTCACGGGTTCGAATCCCGGGCCGGTATCCACCTAGGCCAAGAAGCCTTCCACCACCCTTCCGGGGTCGATTAATTGGTACCAAACTTGTTTGGGAGGATAAAAGCAGCACTGACTTTACATCGGCTGCCACCGCACGTCATTGTATAGGCCACATACGCATTCACTACGCCACTACGTTTCTGAACGGAAGTCGACTGCAAGGCGCACCCCTCAGCTGGTATCGTTCAACGCCAAAAGTCTCTAAGGATTCCTTGGTAAAGGGCATTCATCACCAACGGTCAGTTGTATAATCGGCGTTATCACCATCAATTTTTTTTTACCTTTGAAAGCTAGTTAATTAAAGTCATTGGAATTGACAGTTACTTACTAGAAGTTGTTGCGTGTTGAAGACGGTCTCCTCACAACTGAAAGAAAGCAGGAAATAGTTTCACTACAATGGACGAGAAATCTGTGAAGTTGGCAAAGAAGTGGGGAAGCCTCACCCTGCTAATTCGCTTTTTAACCCTACTAGTTCGTTTTTTACATTCGGAGAGTTCTGGTCATCTTCCATTTCGGAGAACACGGACGAGGCAATGATGGGTCTGAAGATGGTATACAAGAAAAAATAAGTGAAGTTTCTGGCGTTGTTCTTGATTGTGAGTTGTTAACATTTATAAATGAATGAAAAATAAATTTAACGTTCCCGATTTCTTCTAAGGAACGTTAGATGGTCATATATACGTATCTCTTTGCCATTTCTATGAGAAGGCCATGATGTCATTAGAAGGCCGTTTGGTGTGCGTTCGAAATCGGTTCATTTCTTAGAGTCAGATCATTTTTACGGCTAATTTTTTTTGTAATAGGGGGGGGGGGGGGCTACACTGAGACTTACTGGGTACTCCTCACAGTATCTTACGGAACGTTTCTACCAGTCTGTGGTACTCACTGAAAACGAAAGCACAGGGTCGTTAGAGGGGAAGGTGATGGAGTCACCTTAGGAATTTAGGATCAATGTTGGTAATACAGTAATCCTTATGGCTAGCTACATCGATGAAAACAGAGAGGAGATTGTATCAAACAGCTGAATGGCAATTCAACCAGAAGGGTAAGATTTACCAGAGCTAGGTTGTTGTCGAGGCTAAGCATGATCATGAACCCATGATAGTACTCAATATGTAACTGAGAGGTAACTGAAAAATTAGTGGAGGTTGGGGAAAAAGATACAGATGGTTGATGAGGGTGTGTCAGTTGAACATGCGACTCGAATAGCGTCTATATCAAGGTTATGATTGCCGAGCACAAGATAACATGCTATCTCTCTCATTGGTATGAAGCATCGACATGCTCGGACGACAGCACGATCGTAATCAAATCGATTTGACTACGGAATTGCCTGGAAAGAACACCCAAGGTAGAGTACTCGGGCGAATTCAGGCTACAGGCTGCTACAAAGGAGTACGGTACGCGGTCTAAGGTCACAGTCAAGCCCCTAGCTGGAGCATTTTTTACATTTTGGCAGAAAAAATCGGAAACATGTCAATGTATTCGGGTCTATTTCTGTAGGATGCTTCTCAAATGGAAGATACTGTTGGCCCCAGGTTACCGTTGACGACTCGGGGATCGGTAGACGAGTTTCATTTGTCGTCATATAAGTCACGATCATACAGCTCTTATCTCTCCTTTGCAGCCCTTCTTTAAAAGCTTTGTTCACACAGACCGATAAACACGTTGACGTACATTGACGAACGTTTTTTCCTGAAGTAAAATAGAACGGTGATTAGGAAGTCTCTGTTATCAAATATGTATGCTCCAATCACTCACAATGCCAATCACTCATCTGAAGTGCCACTCACAATTCACATCAACATGAACCTCTAGATAGTTGCTTACACCTACGACAACGCAAACAATTCAATGGTGATTTGTGAAATTTGACGAAACGAATGCAGGAGTCGATAGAGATGATTCCAATGAGCTCATAGGAAGCGGCATTCCTTGACCATCATTCATCCTTTCGTGATTTCCAGAGGGCGCTCTTGTTGGCTAACTCTGTTTGCAACAGCATAAATTGGTACATGGATGAGGAAAATTTTCAAGGTCGTCTAAAAAGCAGAGGATATCACCTCGCCTTCATTGGAGCTCCAACCTGCGAGCTGAAAAAAANAAAAAAAGCGCTTCCCTCTTTATATGAACGACAACCCCTAGAATCTTCAACCAAGTGGTCTTGCGGTTTATGGACCTGTAAAAGTTTGAGACTGCCCTTTATCAATTTCAAAGGCACAGTTCACGATAAAAATGGTTCCTGAGATTTATTCCTAAAATCTACGACCCCCAAGGATAGCACAAGGGACGCGGTCGGATCGAAAAATGTGCCTACGTTCTAATTCTGGGGCCATATTGCACCATATCTAGGGGGTCTGAAAATGCCTCTTGGATATGGCGCAAATATAGATATGGCGCAAAGGGGCCCCAAAACGGGCCTGGCCGACGTACGCAGACAAGGCAAACTTGTTCCCACGGAGATGTAGAGGGTGTGGAGGTTGCGCCATTCGTACCATGACCCACGCGTTGCGCGCAGGCAGCTTACTGTAGCCAGCTGTACGCAATGGGACTCACATTTCGGCAAGTAACCCATTTACCCCTTCCAGGCAACCTTGTCGTCACATTCCCGTTTTACCGCTGATTTTACCACTTTTTAAAGCTTTATATTCCCCTAATTACAACGAATTTCACAGTAAAGCTTCAATTTGGCGACCATTAATAATGACCTATCATGATGCCTCTGCACAGTAAGTGGCTTGGGAATTGAGTTTACGACCACGTCCCAAGCAAACCCTCCCACATCTAAGCACCTCACTACTCTTAACTTAGTTCGGAGTAATTGTCTAGTGGTCTATTATGACTCAAGACCGAAGACGACTAACATCAGTAGAAAGGTGAGGGGGAGTAGAAAAAGTTGTTTCCAGGCAATCGTAATCAAGAACAATGTCCTGGTTTCCATCATGTCTTGCTTTCCTCGCACTTTCAAGCACCAGCTCCATGAAGGATCGAACATTTTTCAGAGTCTCGAACTATTTATTTCCATAATAAAGCTACAAAAACAATTTCTTTATCCTTTACACGTATGGAAATTTGTAAAGAAATACTGTAAAGTGCCCAACAACCTGAATGATTGGATGGTAAAACTGGATACTTAGAAATACGCCCTAGATATGAAAATAATTTCAAAAACCTAACCCTACTATCATCTAACTGTTGCTACGAATGAGACCTAATGACCCACCTTTAAGAGCAATTGTCGGATCAAAGGAATATACAGTGAAGAAATGGAATTTGACAGGTCACAAACATACAGTAAAATTATTCTACGTACAGGGCATACATGCTAATTTGAACACCTAACTTCATACAAACTTATATCAGCGTTTAATCGCCATTAGAAAGATAACGCCATCCTCGTCGAGGACATATTTCTTCATTGAATCGAGATCAATCCCGGCTCTCCCCAAGGCGTTCATTATTTGTTGCTCTGTGAGGTTGAGCAAGCTGAAGATCACCTGGAATTCAATCAACGATGTATTCTCAAGTGTATGTATCTCAAGTGCTAATATGTCATATCATTGTTACCTATTGAGGGTAAGCGGCTTTTTGTAAGAATCTGCTTCACTATGTTACTTCATTCGCGCGCGGCGAGAGCGACGTCGCGCGCGAAGGAATGTGGCAGAATGAAGCAGAAGCAGCGCAGCGAGTAAGTAATACAGGAACAGAGGAACAGTAGAATTATGCTAAAAATAATTTTCACATATTGATCGAGCTGCATGAGGAACGCTAGAACTGAATAATAAGGCAACTCGTCCGCGACTGCCGCGCGCGGCGAACCGATTACATGAAACCGATACAATTGCTTGTCTACCATGGAGAAGAGGTGGTCAGTACGAGTTTTGTTGGAAAGCACAGTACGAGTTTTATTAAAAAGCAATGTTACTAACCTGATTTCCAGAATTATACGATTCGTCTCCTAGAACCGATCCGAGCACTAGGCGTCCTCCACTTCTCAAGTGCTTTACCTGGAAATACCTCCATTACGCATCTACAAATAACTTATTACGACTTCAGGTTATTCTGGCCATAACACTTAATCAATGAGTACAAGGAACTTACAATGTTCTGAACACACTGGCAGTACTGGAGGTATGTTTGACAGGCACTTTCCAGAGTGAATATGCTTACTAAGATGTCTACCTGGAATTGAATTACTCCACCTGGGAAGGAGATAGACATATTATTTCAGAGCATAGCAATAAACCGTTGATCGAGTGAATTATTAGAAATATCTACACAAATGAGAAGAATTACTATCTTTCTTACTTGGCAGTCGTTCAGGTCTGGAACAACAGGGTCTTCGTGCACGTTGGCGTATAAAATGCCACCTCGTTTGACTGCTGCCCGAGCCTTGGCTTCAATATCGTTCATTTCCGCATCCGATAATAACATACCACCTTCCGTCCTCAAAAGTAACCATAATTTGTAAGAATAAATGCATAGAAGCCGTCAAAATCCTCCTAAGGTGAATAACAGGCCATCATTAACCCCTTCCGCCTTTCGCCTAATGTGGTTCCGAAAAAATTGCAAAAGAGGGTTTTCATATGAAATATTAGGCTCGGAGAAAAAATTGTAACGTTTTTTATATATTTTTTGTCTTACAACGAATTTATGCTGTTTGAAAATTTGTGTAATCCTGAAGCGATAGAGCCCTTTTGTATTAATCGTCATAATGAGCAAAATATATTTTTTTGATATTCTTTCAGGCATATAAGTGGAATATCCAACAAATAGAAATCAATACTTTCGACATCTGCCTTTCTTTCTTTGGAAACGCTACGAACTTATCCTTGACCTAATATTCATTGAGTTTGCTGGACAACCTACTGAAAGATACTGTTGTTTCTACTCTAGAAGGAAAAGGACATAACACTGATTGATAACTCACATTGGCTGCTTTCATAGTCCGCCGGCCGGCCGGCCGGCCGGCGGACTATGAAAGCCGCCATTTGCCTCAATAATAGAAGGGGGATGCTACCGTTCCTTTCGATAATAACTCTAACCTTTTGATAACTCTGATCGTGGGTTTCCAATCATAGGTAGAGTCGTTATTCCGCCATTTTCTGAGCACGTCCAGGTTCTTCTCCAAAAAATCAGAAAGATAAATAGTTTTCACGGTGTCACGAAAACACAGTGCCGTATAAACAGTTGGTCCTAAATATGTTTATATTACAAATTCGATAAAAGCACATAGATCATGTTAGATCAAATCATTGGGTCGTCCCAAAATCAATATTCTTCCTGCCTTTTTGCCAGTGAAAAATCCATTCGTTCATCAGTATTATCACCATTTCACTTCATCTTTTATGTATTACTGTACTTATTACTCTAATTCTACCTTCCCACTTTGTACTGCTCAGTATACGCCACTGCTAACGGCCGATTCAAATTGAAAGGTTACCAATTCTCAGATTCATTGTTTTCATTTTACTTATTTATTTGTTTATTTAACAGTTTCCACAAAAGATTTCTTCTACTTTCTGAATGAATCTGAACTGACGAGGCCCAACCTAATTCTTTAAAAACTGTATTGTCAAGTCAGTGTGGATCACAAGTTTTACACAGCCCTCTCCAAAATTTATTGGCAGGAGAAACAGCTGTTTTAAGTATTTTCAGGGAAATCGGGCTTTTATGGGGGCAATGTGAGGCCACTAATTCTGCGAAATTTAGAAATTTGCCTAGCGGTAATCAAGCACATCGTCTCCATTGAGTTCTGAAGGCTTTCTTATTGGAAGAGGTTCGCCACGTCAACAGCGGGGAATCCATAGAAGTACAGTACTTTCAATACTTTTTATACGACACTACAAGACCACTGTTCCCGCTGCACTGACTGGGCTGGCTTTATGAGTTTACAGTTGAATTACTAGCTGCTTTCGTCAAAGAGGCGGGGTTGCTCAATTGGTTCCAGACACGGCTGGGTTAAAAAAACACTGGCGTTACATCGGCAGGCCACTGTAATTTGCACAGTCTACATAAATAAACACTGGGAGCATATTCTGAGCAGAAGTCGAATGATGTTCGCATCTCAAGAAACGGTATTGATAAACATTCAGTGGGTGTGGGTATGTCTTCCCAAATGTCGCGCTGTGCGCTATGAACGGAAAGTTCTGATACGGTAGTCGTCGCGGGATCACTGCCGCTTGAGAATGAATTTTGCGTAAAAACAATTAATATTTGGCCCTAGGACAACCTATTTACCTGATTCTGAGGGTTTCGAATGGTTTGCAGTCTTAAGCAGCTACTTTCTGCCAGCATACTTACTGATCTCTACTAATTTTTCTGGTTAGGCGCACATTAGTTGGTCATCATCGGAGCTTAGATTATCATACTGGATACCAAAAAATTATGAATATTTCTCCCTTTCATGGGTCCATGGGTCTCCTGTAGAGAGAACCATCCCCACCTGCTCCGATATCCAACAGGGTTTCCCGTTCACTTGGAGGCATTGACTGGAGCATAATGTGCGCAAACACCGGCAAAGCGAAAAGCGACATCCGGGTGCCATCCTCGATCGATTCTCTGAAATACTGCCTTTGAAAGATGTTCCTAGTCAGAGACTATTAGTAATAAAAGTATTCAGTGTAGAATCCCGTTGTGTTTCATCTCTCAGCACTTCTCTCACAACATACTGTTACAGTAAAGCGCTAGAAGCCATTGCTTCATGCTCCTATACTCGTTTTCAGGCTGTCCCTTTTGATAAGAGAGCAATTTTTGTTTTTCATAATGTTAGCAATAAAATGCAATATATAGTATGGTAATATCACTTTTGTTATCTGTCTTTCAGTTAATTATGGTTTTAATCGAGTGGAAGCCGGCAACGTCTTTATTCGTCCCTGTGGGCGAAATGTAGTCCAGTGGATTCTCCCTGTTCGAAGAACACGAGGCATACCACACCCTTCGTTCAGGGTTGTCCTGAAGTGTTGGCCCCCATCCCCATCCCCGGTGTTCGCTTGAGGTCTCAGGTGTCCAGTAGTTGCCGCGGTATAAGTGACATTGCAAGATTGCAAGCCCACCTGGTCTTTCATTCCTCAAAGTAAGCGATGGTGTCGTTGATCTTCTATCGTTGACAAAACTCGGACTCGTTTATTCAGTGACTCCGTCCGTTGCCCTTTCCACAGCGCGCTGAATGACGTTGTCTGCAGACTCATCAACTCTGTATGCAGAGTTCAAGTATCTGAGGTGTACGTCAAAGCAAAAAGGACTGCAGTGCCGAAAAGGTTAGCGCGAAGCCGGATGTTGTTAACGCTTCCCACGCCGCTTACTTCCTTCTGCTAAGCTTCGGAGCGGTGCATTCACCATGTTGGTCTCTAACTCGAGGTGCACGTAGATGGAGCATTCAGAAAGGCTCGTTCCGATCAGAGTAGAAGGAGCACCAGATGCTAACCCGTTCCTCATGTGCTTCGTTTTTGCTAGATCCAATCGCAACTCTTTCCGCCTGCTCGATCTTCGATGATAGGCACGATGTCTAGCAGAGGGCATGTGATGGAAGTATAATAGCTGACTTCGGCTTCCATTCCCATCCCTCCCTGACGAAATCAAATGCCTTTTTCAAATAGATCTAGGTCAGACATACGGGCATCTTCTATTCTCGCGTTACTCCATTGAGTCTTGTGACACTGTGGATGTAACATTGCCCGGTATCTGTTTTACTCGTTATCACTACTATCACTCAGCCCTGCGAGACCTTTTCAATGTTCTGGAATGGAGGTGGCCAGGTGAATTTACCAGAGCAGAAATTATATTCGGAGTTAAGGACCTCTGGAAAATCGGTATGAACCCATGAGTTTTACATGCCCAGGTGTCCGCTTGCCTTTCTGAATATTAAGGAAATGAAGCGATAAGGCTAACTTCAGGAATCCATAGGAAAGTTCCTGAGGTTCTGAAAAGGGTCATTCAGGTCCTAGAGGGATAAAGTAATGTAAAATTCAGCGGTTATCCGAAACCATGTTCCCTGTTGAGTTCATATTTCTAAAACACTTGAGTTTTAGGCGTTACAATCGCAAGTCTTAGATAAACATCATTGGCCATCCGTTCGAGAAAGGTAATCATCTGCGATTTGCTCTCATATCGATCCGATCTTTGCAAACAGCACAGGCGCAAGAGTGGCATTACACACGTCCTCGTTCTCAGTTGTCAAACGAACTCTCGAAATGTCGGTATCGAATAGATTTATAGTCAATGAAAATCCTCCTACACTCTCACGATAGATATTGAAAAGCCGAAATGACCTGGCAAAGTAGTGGTTTAGATAGGCGTCAGGGTCGAACTCCTTTTCATAATCCTCGGGTTTGTATGACTCTTTCGAGGACATCAACGACTCGACCACGTCGCCTGTCTGAAAAGACAAGTTTGAATAGAAATACCTCACCGAATAGGGGGTTTTAAGGGGATTAAACTTATTTAGAATCAAAAAGAAACTGGAAGCAACTTGTGAATACATATTCCAGGTCTGACTAGCACAGTTTAACCCAATATTGTTAAAAAGAAGAGTACGACAAGCAGAATAGTGGCATTCAATCAACGAAAATCTGGGAAGACAAGAGGCTCAGAGAGCAAAAGCAAGCTGCGGCCGCAATGACGACAGAGGCGCAGATCAGCTTACAGCACCGGGTACGCCCTTGTCCTCAGTCTTACCTAAAAACAGATTGGAACGACCTCGTACTGACATACACCTGGAAAAGATGTGTAAATTATATTTACTACGAAGTTTCCTCGAACAGACAAATTTTTTCTGAAAAATTCTAAACCGCCTGTGGACATTCCAAACACTTCTTTTTGTAAACAATGCGAGCCGCTTTTTTACGGCCTTCACTCACCCGACGTTTTGAAAAACCTGATACTGCTTTAGCTACCCGAAGACAGGCCTCTTTTCTTCCAGAGTAGTGTATTCCCAATTTGTTCTGTAGATTTTGCATCAGTCAGGTCTTACATGGCGAGGCACCTCTGATTTTTATAGAGAGTCATATTCATACGTAAACCTTGTCCTAGCAGTTTGCACTTTCTCGTCGGTTCACAGTTCAAGAAGCACCGAGTGAGGCCCAAGATGAATATGAAGGAGACAAGGTTCGTAATCCTCATTGCAGACCGCTGGCTTCATGCTTTCCCTTACTCCCCTTAGATCCCCCTCGGTGCTTCCATCGCCCACTTTAGGATGACCTGAATGGGTTAAGTTTGCGGGGCAGGCTCTTGAAGACCTGGGAGACTCGACTTCAAAACTTTTTTCTTTCATTAAATTACTGCACTATCTCACTTCCCATCCCTGTCTTTCCTATATTTTCACCAGTTTGATCACACGGCTATCGCTGGGCTCCTACCTCAGAATAAGTGATACTTTCTGAGCATGAAATTCAACTCATGGCATCAAGTGGTATTCAGTATGTGCCGACGTCTATGATTGGAAGTCTCGGTCTTTTGCTTTCCATTTGGGAAATAAACACCCATAGAAATTTTGAGCGTTAGGCAACCAAAGCCTTGAGTAGTATTCACAGATGATGTCGAGCGATAATAACCCCATTATCAGATGTCGTTATTAGTGGGGTTTTTTCTGTGGCTCTATCATTAGTTGAGATTCCGCGATTATTGGCGGTCGGATATGTTTTGTCTCGAATAGTACCAAATAAAGGGGAATTCTGATCCGTTTCTTGATATTTCATTCTTTCCAGAAAATTTGGTCCCTTTTACATTCTCTCGAGACTTTTTTTCCGGTTACTGTGAAGCTTTCGTTTAATCTCCCCACCTCGTATTTCAGATCCGTTTTTGGTGGTCGTGGTCCTCCAGAAGTTAGGTTTCAGCTGGTAAGTGCCTCTTGCTCTTTGAGACCCCTCTTCAGTTTTTATCAGCTGTTATAAGTTCTTCCCATCGGGCATCTAAGAACCATCATACTCCACAGCACAAGCAACACAGTCACCCAGGCTCAACTATCAATTCGATTGTTCCAGTGGCTTTATTCTCTAACACATCAGTTGTTACAGTTCCTGGAACCAACATTCCTCGATCCCGTCAGTACCGAAGTGCCAAAGTTCCACTGCTGACAGGAAGAGCGTTTCAGACCAAGTAGCTCTGCCTTCTATGGTCTCCAACACTCCAATAGACCCTATAATTCATTATCGGTCCTTGTCACGTCTAGTCTACGGTCCCTTCTCACACCACATCATCAACTAAAGTGCCAAGGGTCGACCGTTAACACAAAGAAAGAAGGTAACGGATCCTGCAGCTATTGTCTTCTAAGGCTCCTCAGCAGTTCCTGGACCAGGGCCTCCAAATATCAGAGCGGTGCAAGTGGCGTGCTAACTGTAGAAAGGAGAGCCGGGCGTGGTCGGGCAATCCGACTGGTGGCATGGATGGTAAACAAAAGCTTTCTACCTTTCTTAGACGCTAAAGCTGGAAAGTAGAGCACAATCACGATGTCGCCGTAGGAAGTGAACGTATAAGTGGGCCCTAGACATCCTTATTCGCTCATCTGATCCCAGTCCGAGTTTGGCTGCAGATTCTCCGTGTCTTTTAAGAACACTGGTCCTACTTTATACAACCATCGCATAATTTNTTTCATTCACAATATGGTTGGATATGCTAGTAGTTAGTGATCAATTAGTTCTTCTTCGTTATTCCATCAATTGCTCGTGCTATAGGTTCAACCACTTTCTGGAAGAGCAATGCAGATCCTTGAGTCTGTGGAAGGAAGAGAAATACGAGGAAGACAGTCTGAAAAAGTTGAAGTCACATAACCTCTGAAGATCACTCTCAAAGCTGAAGTCCAACAGTAACCACTTTCCTTCAACGCAGGTAATCTTACGGTTCTATCCGGCTTATGACTTCGCCAAGCATTTGACTTGATGTCACGCTAAGCATATCTCATTCCTTGCGTTCACTGAACAACAATCCCCTCTCGAGCACGCGACCGTGCGCGTTCGCGTGCGGCGAGCGCGACACGACGTTCGGGGATAAGTACCCGCATATCGTCGTTCAGCTTGAATGCTCATGGTGCTGTTTATACCGAGTGTTTACACTTAACCTCATCATCATCCCCTCGCTTCGTTCACTTTACTGCTTTGTGTTTTTCGACCCCAAAATTTCCAGAATTTTCTTGACTCGCTATTTCCCTTTTGTTCCTGTTTGATGATGGGAGTACATACTTTGAGGAAGTACCAAGCTGCAATGAGAGCTATGGCAGTCGAGTCCAGAAGAGCGAAAAATCCAAAGAAAATCCAGTATTGAAGTTGGTTGACGGCTTCATCTGACTTTTTACTACGGACCGCCTGAACAAAACTGATATGAAGTTGGTAGGACGAAAGTGTCCCGGATGGGACTTACCTCCACAGCAACACTTGCCGGATAGAAGAATGTAACCAAATAGGATACGAACATTGCCCCCTCACCAGCTATTAAGTACAAGCTTGTCAATCCGATCAATCCATATACTATCTGTAACGATCGTCTACCATCGATGATAGAGCTAATCAATAAGCAGGGGGACCAACGTGTTCTCTCTTGACGCCGGCTGCATCAATCTTCTTCAGTTGCTCGTCCGCGGCGCCATGCGGCTTGTAGCACCAAGCAACCATGTCGGCCTGGAGCGTGCAGATATTGCTCACCTTGTTCCTAGTGGGAACACATCACTCACATGGGCCTTCTTGATCCCTTCAACGGGATTTGCCCCTCCACCTCCACCTGCACTTGACGGTGGCGCATCGGAGGACGCCGACTTCATAGATGCTCGGGGTAAGTAGAGAACTAAGAAATAAATGAACCCTACTCATGGTCCTCCTATTTATACTGAGATAGAACGATGATAGTGCTTTAATAAACAAGAACCAACTTTTTAGTCTTGTGAGAACATCTGAATGTTGCTCACCCGGATTCACATTAGAAGTTTTCCATACGTCTGTTTGCCAGATTACTTTCGCTTTTTATGGGATCTGATGATTTCTGGGTCTCCGAGGTGTTCTCTGAGTAGATCCTTATTCTTTTTTTCTACCTCATCGAACCCTTATGACATATTATCCATCACACATGGGTGTCACTCTTCATCAGCCGAATAGCTCGAAGAAGAAGGGTCATAATGAAAAGGTACCAGGAGAGGAGGTGGTGTAGTGGTAGTTGGTGCACTATCATCACTATCACACAGCACTTTCACGAGTTCGAATCTCGGATGATGTCCATCTAGACCAGTCAAGCCTTCCATCCTTCCAAGCTGATTAATCGGTACCAGACAAGTCTGGGAGGACAAAAGCGCAGACTTGTACATCGGCTGATCACCTCAAGTCATTGTATAGGCCACATACGCATTTAGTACGCCACTACGATTCTGAATGGAAGTTGAATGCTGAGCGCATCCTTCAGACGGATTGATGAACACCCAATGAAGACTTCAGACTAGGGATGCGCCCCGCATTCTACTTCCATTCATGTTATAAGACTTTTTTAAAAACCTGCTGCCAATAAGAAATTATTTAACATCTCGGCAGCAGGTTTTTAAAAAAGTCTTATAACATTAATGCAAAGCTATGCCAAGATTCATTGAGAGTCGAACATGGATACTTCCATTCAGAATCGTAGTGGCTGTTTGAATGCGTGATTTCTGAACAATGACTTGTGGCCAGCCGATGTACAAGACAGTGCTTTCATCCTACCACGCGAGCTTAGTACCTATCAACCGCCCCCTGAGGAATGAAGAGCTTGTGTTCTAGGCAATCATAGGTCCGAGATTCGAACCCTGGACGATGCGTGTGTCGTAGTGAGGCTATTGCCACTACACCACCACCAGCATCTGAGATGAAGTTGTGACGTAGGAAATATTATCTTCTCTTTTCGCCCTTATCTTTACGTTATCAGTTGTTATCGTCTACCGCCACTTATCTGAATTGTCACCCTGTAGCCTGTATACATTCCAAATTTGAACGCTCCGAGAGCAACCTAACAAGACTGGCGAATTTGAGGGCAAACACCCACAACCACACATATATCCGCACACATGTACACACATACTATGTATGTGAAGCGTATATGGGAAGCGCGAAGTGACTTGCAAGACGCGAAACACTGCTCCCGATAGTCGAGGTACGGTGGATGGCGTAGCT